GTATCCTTAATACAATGTGCGAGGTTTGTCGGCGTCCCTGCTCCGATCTACTTTCACCGCCGCCTGCACTGGAGTGTGTTCGCTGTCGCATGCGCATTCATCGGCACCATGTGGAACATCATGAAAAGTTTGTTGTTTGTCCGAAAACGGTCAAGCAGTGGCTTATCCGAGCTCCCGACCCAGCTGCACGAAAGGAGTGGATTAGCCGGATTAAGCAACTGCAAGAACGGTACATTGAAATTCAGCGGGGAACAGACAGTGTCATCTCACCCTCGTCACTGTCTGCCACTCCCTTCGCAAAGTTTAGCAGACCGTTGTCGAGCAGTACACGCTACAGTAGCATGCGAAATTTTGGTCATCTCTCCAGCAATCGGGAGACACCGTCACGCCGGTCAATTGCCACACCCACGACTCTTCCAAGGACCGTCAGCAACAATTCTTATCCCACCAGTACTATAGCTCAACCCCCACACGTCATTCCACCTGCAAGTCAGCATGACCTTTAAGTCCAAGTCTGCCGCGCTCAAGCCTCCATTCCACCGCACCTGTCCTCTGCGCCACGAGCTCCTCGTTCCTGTCACTGCTCCTTCTCAGCAGCACAAGCACACTCCGGCTGCAAGGCTCTTCGATAGTCTTTCATACATGCTCCTTCCCCTCCTTCTGGCGGCTTACCCCTTCTCAGTAAGATGTCCTGTTGTAAATACTGTGGGGGTAATTTCTCTTCCAACTTCGCAAAAAAATCTACATCATTCCTGCCCTGTCCCTTCACATCTTCCAGATAGCAACAGACGAACGAATCCTAATTATTTTCTTTTAAAGTCACCTTTTTACGAAGAGGACTTACTCAACCATGTTTATCTTTGTCTGGCCCCTCGTTCGTGTGGGCAATGATCCCCCAACCTCCAAACCTGAAGTATATTTCCTCAGTCAGAAATATTAAATCCACTCGTGCCTTCCTTGAGAGCGTCTTGGCGCTCAATCTCCCACGCTGCTATACGCTAATAAATGTCATAATATACGTCTTTCTGCGAGGAAATTCCAGCCCTGAGGACGAAGTCTCCGTACGTGGGAAGGCTTTTCATGAACTCGCAAATATTTACCATTCTCCCTATCGCCCAAGCAGATCCGTAATAGCTAGGAAAGCCTAACGTGCAGATGTTTTTGGGATGTGAATTTTCGATTTGGTCAAGAATTTGCAAGCCTACGAACTGAGAGCGCTTAATTTCAACTAAATAAGTGTGTGGCGACCGCATCCTTCAAACCTTACTAGCATACTACTAACACAGCATCTGAAGCACTCGAGAACGCAGTTCGCTGATTCTGTGCAACCGGATGAGTCTGCATCCTGGGGCTCACCAGTGAATCACCCAACATTGGTCGTGTTTTACAATATAATTCCACTGTCTAATCTTAGCCCGTAACATCACCAGAAACTCAAGCGAGTACCGGGTACTTAAGGGAAACGGAGACCTTTGAGTTCGACGTGGATTCTTGCGCGAATACTGCGGTTGAGGATTAACCATCAGAATAAGTGCAGTCTCAGGCATTGAAGACGACAGACAACAGTATGGTACATGGGTGCCGATCCTCTCAGCATACGCGTAATATACTAGCTAGGAAAAGGCGTTTATTGGATATCCTACGGTTGATTTGGTTCAATGGATCGGTCATTAGTCCTGGCGAGGATTTCGGTTAGAATGAACTCAAACTAAATTCGTAGTCTTTCAGAAATATAAATGGCATGATTTTGTCGGGAATCAGCGAATTAGGGTCCAGGGGCGTCGGGACTAAATTCACCTGCTTAGGTGAAGCTAAAAGATTCTAACTCGCCCGCCACAAGCCAACTTTTTCTAGTAATTCTGGACGAAATGGAGGCTAGACACGATAAGTTCAGCAACGCCAAAATCCAACCTGAGTGACCTACTGACGGCTGTCTAGGCTCTCACTGCCATCTGCATTTCGGATTCAGGTACCAACATTTAGTCGAAGAACATCAACCGTAGCTACATGGGCCCACAGCATTCACACCCGCTGTCGCTGGTAGTCAAGTGTGTGAATTTAGTCTCCTCGGTGCACCCGAAATGCGCTGGAAAGAAACCTTTTCAGGTCCCCCCGGTCTGTGCAATGAGACTGCGTATGCGCCCGGTCTAGGGTTCCACAAGTAGCTTCTAGTAGTAATTCACTTGTCTAGATTCGTGATCACTCTTAACTTGCTGACAAATTGTTTAGGGACGGGATTTCTACCTCTGATCTAAATTCCAATACAGACCTGACAGACGCAGGAGTCACTAGCACAAGCGTTAAATCCACAACCACAGCGATTAGTGTGCTTGATTGACTTTCTGCAGCAGTACTATCCAAATAGGGTGTTTCCTAAAGTAAATTCAGATGGGGAATTCCGTGTCAGAACGCGAGTTGTAAACCATCGTCTTCGGGGACAACTGTCAGCTGTCCGACTAAAACTAGTCAATTCCTGGTTCTCGGCTGACATAGAGAGCAAACATTTGTTCTGTTGACTTTGTGAAGCAATTGATTTTGCAAGTATCAGCACTACACGGATATCACATTGAAGATATTCCACAACTCGCTTAATCACACGAAAGTCCGCACTGAAGCTAAAAGGTTCTGACTCGCCCGCAACAAGCCATCATTTTCTAGTTATTCTGGACGAAATGGAGGCCAGGCACGATAAGTTCAGCAACGCCAAAATCAAACCTGGGTGACCTACTGACGGCTGTCTAGGCTCTCACTGGTATCTGCATTGAATGACAAAATTTTCCTCAGATTAAAAGGGAGAGAAAATGGTAGGACGGGAAACAGCCCGAAATTAGCTTCCTTTGCATGGTCAGCAGCAGGAGATCTGACGGTGTATGCTTCGCCTGATCAGGAGTTTTGAATGGATGGGAGGTCTAAAATAATAAACTTGACTTTACAACTCCCGTATTGGTGTATTACTGAATACCCACAGTGGCTGTATCACACTCTTTAGATCAAATGGGGTGTAGAGGTGTCGAGTTTTGGGTGCGTGCGGTGGTCGAAGTAGGTCGCTAACTGGCTTTCAGATGTAGACAACGCCTAGCGTCAATTAGCTAGCACCCAACTCCCACATGTGGCTCTCCGAAGCTGGGCTCTGCCTAGCAGCCACACCCCGGTAACCAGCTTGGCAGGCGGACCGAACCAGGTGTGTGCATCTCCGCACACGGTAACTCGACTCCACTGGCTGGGTGGACTACCGTCTCGACATATCCGAGACGATACCCCGTCTGCAACGCCACAGGGGGCCACAAGGCAAGTGATCCCCATCCCCACCCCTAGGTATGCGAACAGTGCTCTGATGGATTGTTGTTTGTCCTCGTTGACAGCTAAATGCCGTTCTGTTTAATTTCCTTTTTTACCTTTGCTTTTTGCTGTTCTTGTCTGCTTGCTCTTTGTCTGCTCGTTTGTGTTTGTATCTGTTGTACGATAACTGCCGTTCTGCTGAATTTGTTTGCCCACCTCTTATATTTTAGAGACCAGTTGGCCTAGAGAGGGGCGGGAAAGCTCTGCATCCTATCTCTCTACCCTTGCCAGATCTCCCCGTCCCCCTTGCTTCAAGTCCTACGGCGATATCGCAGGCAGGCCCAGGCTAACTCAGGTTATTCTCCCATTAAACAAAAGCCGTGACCACAGTGTAATTTGGCAGCCGTCTGGGACAACAGTGGCTCTATTTAGGGATGGCACTGCTCACCCCTGCGAGGGGGAAGGAGCTACAAAAGGCGCCCTAAACAAATGCTGGGAATCCATCCCGTCCGCAGGTCGACTGTGGCCTCAGACGCTAAACTCACGGTCGAACCAACCAAATCAGAAACCACTCTCTCCCCCCTCACCACCCCCCTCCCCATTGCCCAACTCGTTAGGCTGGTAGGTTGAGTCCACTCACTCTGGCAGCCGGGAATGTTTGTTCGTTTTTAGCCAATCCGAGCAGCAACAGACCGGAACGATGGACGGCACTAGTGGCTCGCGAACCGGCGCGCTACAAAGTGGACATCGCTGCACTCAGCGAGATCCGCTCCTCCGAACAGGGCCAACTAGAGGAGGTGGTTGCTGGCTACACCTTTTGGAGCGGTGGCCCCACGGCAGAAAGACGGGACGTGGGCATAGCCTTTGCCACCCGGAACGACGTTGTGGGACAACTGCCCTGTCTGCCACAGGCCATCAACGATCGCCTGATGAGCCTTCACCTGTCTCCCGGGGGAGGCAAATGTTGCTTGTCCTTGGTGACTTTAACGGCAACGTCTGCACAGACCACGCTACCTGGAGAGGAGTGCGGGGTCCTCACGTTTTCGACGGCTTCAATGACAATGGCCTGCTCCTCCTTCAAACCTGCGCAGAATACCGCCTCATCCTGAACAACACCTTATTATGCCTTCCGACGCGAGAGAGGCCACCTGGATGCATCCTCGGTCGCGAGACTGGCACCTGCTGAACTATGTCCTCGTGAGGAAGCGAGACCGGCGGGACGTGCTGGTGACAAAGGCGATCCCTGGTGCCGACGGGTGGACAGACCATCGTCTCGTAATCTTCAAGATGCGGATTAGTCTACAGCCTCGCAGGAGATCTCAAGGTAATCGAGCCCAAGTTAAGTTGAATATTGCTTTGTTGTCATTGTTTGCTCACCATGTCCATTTCAGCAATGAATTAGCTAAACGTGTGGTCAGCCTTCTAGTCACTGCTGCCGCCGACACCACCGCCGCTGACGAGAACGCCTCAGAGAACTAATGACACGGTCCAGTCAGCCGCCCTAAAGATCCTCGGCTGCGCACGCCGTCAACATCAGATGGGTTCGACGACAGTGACGCCACCATCGGCAACATACTCCCAGAGAAGAACCGACTGTACGAAGCCTAGGTCAATAGCACTACTGACGATGACAAAGCAGCCTTCTACCGCAATCGCCGCCTTGTGCAACAGCAGATGTGGGAGATGCAGGTCTGGACGGCTTGCACGACCAAGGAGATCCAATGGTACGCGGATCGCAACGAATTGAGTGCTCCTCTGTGATCAGGGCTCTCTACGGTACGCCAACCAAAGCAACTGCTGCCCTTCTCAGCGTCGACGGCAGTACCCTATTCACTGGAAAGACAAATTCGGAAGCGACGGACCGAACACTTCCGGGACGTCCTCAACCGTCCCTCCATAATCTCCGACGCCGCTATCGCCCGTCTGCCTCATGTGGAGGCCAACGCCGACCTCGACCTCTCGCTCTCTCTCTCCATGAAACCATCAGGAACGTGCAGCAGCTCTCCAGTGGGAAAGCGCCCAGATTGGACGCGATCCCTGCTGAGCCCTACAAGCACGATGGCCCCCGGCCCATGGATGATCTGATGGCCCTATTCCAGGAGATTTGGCGTCAAGAAGACCTGCAGGATTTTAAGGACGCCACAATCGTCCATCTCTAGAAACGGAAAGGTAACCGCCAGCTCTGTGACAACCACCGGGGTATCTCCCTGATGAACATAGCTGGGAAGATTTTCGCTCGCATTCTCATCAACCGCTTGAACAACCATCTGGAACAGGGTCTCCTGCCGGAAAGCCAGTGCGGCTTCCGCCGTCATCGTAGGACCACTGACATGTCCTCTGCCGCTTGTCAACTGCAGGAGAAGTGTTAGGAGACGCTGACCCACCTTTAATCTGCCTTAGTTGATCTTATGAAAGCCTTCGAGCGGTGAATCGCGAAGGACTATAGAAGACCATGCTGAAATTCGGATGTCCCGAACGATTCCCCAAGGCCGCCAACACCACGATGGTATGTTGGCGCAAGTAACAGACAATCGAGCTGTCTCTCAGGCATTCGCAGTGTCCAACGGAGCGAAGCAGGGTTGCGTCCTCGCACCTACCCTAATCAATCTCGTTCTCTACCATGTTGATGGACGACTACCGTGACGAACGCCCTGGGACCCGCACCGCCAACAGGACGGATAGCCAACTCAATTACTGGTGGATGCACTTCCATCCGCGTATATCTACAGTTGCCGTCCATGAGCACCTCTCCGCCGACGACTGCGCCCTCAACGCCACCTCCGAAGGAGACATGCAAAGGAACATGGACCTCGCCGCCGCCGCCGCCCCAACTCAAAGTGAAAGGCGCCAAAGTGCAAGTCGCGGACAACTTCGCCTACTTGGGCAGCACCCTCTCCCGCACCACCAAGATCGTCGATAAAGTGGCCCGCCGGATCTCCAAAGCCAGCCAAATCTTTGGCCGTCCTCAAAGCACAGTCTGGAATCGCCACGGTATTCATCTCAACACCAAACTTAATATGTACAAGGTGGTCATCTTGCCGACACTGTTGTATGGAGCAGTGACCTGGACGGTGTATAAGAAGCGGGCGCGGAGATTCAACCACTTCCACGTCTCCGACGAATACTGAACCTGAGATGGCAGAACCGGATCCCGGACACTGATTTACTGGGGCGGACGGAAATCCTCAGCATCTGTGCCATGCTAATAACACTGCAAGTACGTTGCTGCAGCCACCTCGTGCGGATGGATGACGAACGACTACACAATCGGCTCTTCTATAGAGACGTCGCCACGAGTTCCCGCGGTCAAGGAGGCCACGCCCGTGGATAGGACACTCTGAAGACTTCCTTGAAGCGTCTGTAATATAAACCCGACCAACTAGGATGACCTCGCCCGAGACCCGACGACCTGGAGGACAATGTAGACGCAGCGATCTGCGAAGCCAACCGCATCACCACCACCAAAACCAAACGCGACGCCCGTGAATACCAACTGCACCCACATCACAACGCCAACGCTCAACCACCCCCGACCTACCCACGATGCCGACGGGCGTTTCGGGCACCAACCAGCGATATAGGACACTTTCGCACCAACTGCCCCACCCGAACTGCACCAGCTGCTGTTTCCTCGTCCAGCTCTGTCTCATCCTCCGCGCCCACAACTAACATTAACCGTGCTCCTCTCCCTACTTATCATCATCATCAACATCCTGCACCCACCACCACTGCACACATCAATCAATCATCAACCTTCCGAACGTCGACGCCAGCATTCCGGACTCGATGTATACCCGTCCTCATTGCGTCCGCACCTTCACCTCACGCATCGCCCTGGTTGATCACTTGCGAATCCATCACACAGAGACTGGCAAAGCAGTGCCTGGAGCATCAACCTACACTCGCCGCATTCAACGCCACCGTCCACACTTCCCACGCACATTCACTCACTGCATGGGTTTATCCAGTCTCATGCGTATCCACGGGAGCGTAATGGACCGCTGTCTCGGCACACATAACACATCTTGCACATCCCCTATGCCTAACTCAACATACACCCCGCCGCCCAGCACGCTGATCACCATCAGCTTCATCACACTCAGCACATCTTGCACATCCACGATGCCTAGCTCAACCCACATCTCGCCGCCCAGCGCGTCCACCATCAGCAGCTCCACCACTGCCACCATCTCTGAAACCGACACTGACACCGCCGACTCTTCCTGTCACCATTGTCCCCGTAAATTCACCTCACACCTCGGCCTGGTCGGTCACTTGCGAATCCATCGCACAGTGACTGACAAACCAGTGCCTGAAGCACCAACATACACCAGACGCATCCACCTCAACTGCCCTCACTGCACCTGCACATTCACCCACTGCATGGGCCTATCAGACCACATGCGCATTCACGAATACCTGCGATAGACAACTGCCGGTTAGACCACACCATCACATCTTCCTCCACCTACATCACGCAACATCATCATCATCCACCACAAGCATCCAATTGCCACCTCCCACGCGCAAGTGGGAAGTCTGCGTCCCGGCTCCGCCTCCATGCGGCTGCTCTGTTGCATGTCTGATTCGTGTCCGTTACTATTACGATGCATCAAGCAGCGTGGCTTTGTAGGCTGCTGACTGACGCCCCAACTCAGTCCACGCAGTCTGCCCAGTTGATTGCATGCATGTGTGGAGTGGCAGACTGGTGTGCTGATTACCACGCTGAAGCGGCTCATTCCTAGCCTGACCTACGATATTATCACACCGCGCAACTCCCGTTGTGTGAAATCCTGCTGCTTGTGTTTGGGGGGCATGTCGTGCATTTAGCGCGTGAAGACAAGGCCATTACATATTTCAGCCACCGCGCCCACCCTCCGTACATGTCAGCCGACCGGCTCGGACAGTGGCTAGGGCATGGGAATGGGAAGGAAGAGTGAGGTCGACGACTCAGCGCATTCTCCTCACTATAAACAATCTGACGCGCTTCAAGCTATCACAGCGCGCTAAAAGCCATGGCTTAGAAGGCTGCCAACTAACGGGATAACTTGAACCACGCATTCGGCCCAGTGTTGTGTGTTTGAGTGGAGCGGCCGGCAGTTGTTCTAAGAGTCAGGCTGCAATGACGCCTTCTTAATGTGGCCTTGATGACACTCCCAGTCCGCGGGATCCGAGCCAGGTATGCTGGCGCGTCCAGGTGCAGCTCCGGCCCTGCTAGTCACCCTTTTGCTGTTGGTCAAAGTCCTGGTCATTTTCTGTGTGGACCACGTGGTATGGAGGGGAACGCCAAGGTGTGGGCTCGACCGTGCCATCCACCCGCGCCCTCCCCCGCCTTCGGTCTTTTTGACTGTTTTGACACCGGGTTCGGGTGGGGGAGGATGATGGGGTGCGGTAGATGCTGTGAAGTCTACATTCGCCATAAATCACACGCTAGTCATCGTGCCTGCTTCACCTTGCTGTGGAGCACACGGTGGACATCGTCAGCAATGATGGTCGGACGATCAGATCTCAATATACCCTCAGAAAGACTTCTATCTTTGGCTTAAGTCTCCCACGGATTTTTATCGTTCGAGTTCATGTCGCTATGTAGAAGTGCTACTATCGTACATGGTTATGGGTCCGCAACGCTATCCTGTGACCGTCAATGTCCGTAAGCGAAATGGTTCGCAAGTTGCAAACGGAACGTAGAGGTGCACATTTCGAGAACTGTTATTGGTGTTTACCTAAACCTGCGCAAGGAGTACTTTAAGGAGCTGTCACTTCTAATGGGCCGCAGTAAAAAGGAACGTGGAAATCTTATTCTGTATAAAACGCTAGGAATTAAGGAGAGGTAGCTAGCCGATGCTGGGTTAGACCTGAATAAAAGAAGAGTGCTAGCTCAGTATGTCAAACAGAAAACCGGATTTTCTGAGGATAGGCTAGCGAAGATTTCACAGCAGGAGTTCTACATTAAAAAGAATGATATTGACAAAAATTTATTTAAAGAAGCTTCAAACGGGACTTTCAAGTTCTCCGATCAGGGCCCCCAACTGTTCACTGTCAAATAAGCTGAACTTTTCCTTAGTGACGGTAGCCATCTGTAATTTGAAGTAATAAAAGGGTTGAGGTATTAGTCGGTAGGGAGGACGTGCATATGTGAATTTGTGGTGTGACAGCTACTGAAATTTCCAAGGTTCTCGGTATTTAACTTTTCGATGTGTTGGCGAAAAAAGGCAGCAAAGGAGACGCCTGTATTGTCAAGCTGGACCTTCTAAAATTGTAGGATTTATTGGTTTTCCCTCGGAGAGTCGACGGTTAGTTACTTCGGTATAAAAGCGAAAATGGTGACATGAGCGCTGCAAGCCAACTCGCGAAAACCAACTGAATAAGCAACGCTTCTATTGTGGACCATAAAAACTGCTTTGCTAGACGAACAATTTGCTTAATTGTTAGTCGTGATTCTTGAAGTTATGTGACTGAAACATGACATCCGGACCAACCTCCAGTTCTAACAAAAATCTGATCTGAAGATAAGCATAACGGCATGTCAAGGGCACTTAACTCCAAGTCATTGCAGCAATAACTTGCGAAATTATTAGTTTTGGATTCAAGTCTAAAGTTCGTGCGTCAGAAGTCACGTAGGAAATGCTGGCGAAAGCACTGAGGGACCAAACCCCTTGCATTTGCGTCATACAGCAACGGAGACACCAACAAGACACGCGCGTGGACTTTCCGTTAGTGCCTATGTTAGAAGCGTGTTGGAGCCAATATTAAAAAAGTTTTTTTATATGAGCGATTTTTGTTACTGTGATTTTTAGGTTGAAGCGGTGACTGCTGACTATACTATCTCCTAAAGGAAGGATGTGCTTAGATACCTATCATGAATCTGTGAACTACGCTAAACTGCCGAACATCGATGGGGCTCTACACCTAACGCAGTAGCAGCTAAAACGGTGCAACAGCATTTAAGGGCCCCAGAAACCAGGGACTTTTTGTACAAACGAGGATGATAAAGTGCACCATAGTTGCCAACATGGAATTACTTTTAAATAATCGAGAAGGGATTTGCGTCACAGGCTGAAATGGTCCCTTGCAAGATTAATGGGAGCGAATTATAGAAGGGAGGTTTTTTGGGAAACCGTGAAGAGCATAAGCGCCCGAGCTGGCAGAGGAAAAAGTCAAAAGTCACTCGGGCCCAGGTCGATTGGCTTGAGGATCAAACAGAAAATGTAGTCAACGATTGAGGGATCGAGGGATTTCAACACGTGCATCTCGACGCGATAGTCACTGGTTCACGCTCTCATCCTATTGGTAATGTCGAAGAAGGCTGACTACTGAACGCTACTGATCAGGGACAAATTCTGTAAGTCCATAGCTTTCTAACTAATATGAAATGCTTCCTAGATTACAACCGTAAGCTACAGGGACAAATGTGTTAACAACATAAGACGATGTTATCAAAGTCTAATTAGCATGAGGGTGTGCAGTTTGAAATGGGGAAACAAAAAGAATTCACTGGTGTTTGGGAAAAACCCACCTCAACATTATTGGCATCTAGTTTTTCCTCCATGACTTGACGAAGTATTGTCAACGCATGCTTACAAGCCTCGTTAAGAGTCATGTCCTGAAAACAAATTTATACCTAAAAACGGAGGTAAACCTTCTTGAAGACTTCTTGTAGTGCTTGCTGCGCTCCTTCGGAACCCGAACCAATAGCTTTGGCCTCATACCGAATGTAAGTTCCACTTGGATCCATGTGGTAGCTGGAAAGATCGAAGTAGAGAAATGGAAGAACTTACAGCTGGGGGCCGTTTTCGTCATGACCAGCGAACAGAAGGGCAACACCAAAAGGACGACTCTACAAATATTAGCTACAAAGTTTGGATATTACCATAGCTCCTGGTTCAGCGTCGTCATCACCGAAGGCCAAAGCTAAGTTGCTCACAGCTTGTGTGACATCCTCAACATTCATTTCCTCATTGTACACAAACCAGTGGTGAGACGTTTCAACCCTGGCGCGGTCGATTAGAGTTCGCGCATCCGCCACGAGCCCACTGACAGCACAGGCTATAAAAGTAATGTTTTCCCAGTGGATCAACTTGGGTAACTGATGAAAAAAAACATACTCCCAAGGAGCCAAAATCAAGTCAGTAAGCAATAACTGGTAAGCTGCCGAAGAAAATGAGGAGAAAGCAGGACAAAAAATGCACTAGAAATAAAAACAAGAGTCGCCGGACGACGAGATCCGTGTAATTCACCTGTCGTGTCTGCAGGCAGTGAATAATTAAGCAGCCTTCAGTAAAGGTTCTTTGAAAAATAAGCAGGCTTTTTGGTGAAAATAGCAACTCTGGTCGACATGGTACCGCAATCCCTCCGAACAACTGAGCCAGAGCTTCACTTATGAGCTGGGGATACACGCCATGGAGAATTGGATTTATGCGTTCTGATGGTTGTTAGCAAAGTCATAATTGTTACGGTGCATGCCTCGACGCTAGAAACAGACGATAGGTAAAAGGGGGCTTTGTGACGGCCCCTCGGATACTGTCTATTCTGGAAACGCCCGGTGTCGGCCTATGACTAACTACAGCGCACACACTGCTGAGGAAACCCATGGGGTGTGTACAAAATTGGGAATCAAAAAAGCACTTGGCATGAAGTGTCGCCTAGTGGAAATCTACAAGCACCGATCGGTTGCACGCCCTTTTGATCCAAATTTGGAAAGCAGAGGTCTTACCCACAGACTGGAGTAATGCGATGCCGTTAAACTTAAAGCTAAAAATGTGACAGGTGGCGTTGTAAGCACTTACGTGGCAGCAGCCATGTCGAAATTGCCGTAAAAGTCTGTCTAGTGATAATGTTCAAATACTTGTAGTTATACCACAACACGCCGACAAAAAAGATGCATGTGGCATACAGTCGGATGGGGATGTGTCTATGAGCAATCCTTGCCGTATTGAACCCTCAAACAACATTACAGTTATCAACAGCCTGCTGTTGTTTATTTCTTGAACATTTTCTCTGACCATCGGGACTCTGCAGGGTCGAGTTACGCGCAGTGGCATGCAGTCGAAGCTACTCCGATTGACCTACGCTCATTATAACAGAACAAAAATTGAAAACCACCCAAATTGCGAGCAGAGCGACTTATTCGGTGTAAAAACGTAAAAATTTTGCTGCCCTTGACCCGTCATCCTTACCCACTTGGAGGCGCCGAGGAGGGGGTCAACTTAAAACCTGGGTCGACACGGTGCGTCATGTCGTGGAAGTGATTCTCGGACTTTCGGTATTCGGTCTCCGCGCTGGCGAATAGTGGGTTGAGCTGTCCAGATGTGCTGGCACGAATCGCCAGGCGTGGAAAGGTACTGCTCCTGACATCATTGAGACTGGCTAGATCAGACATGATCGCAGATGTACCAAGTACAAGTACGTACCAAATGACTCCATTTTTCTCACTGGTCTGCTGTCGTCCGACTACTATGGGAGACGATCAATCATGATTTTGGAAGCCCGCACCAAGGAGCCGATTAAATCGCTTACGCCAAACACTGCCGTCCAAAACTTTAAGGGAATGGTAAACCCGAATGAGCCGAACGTGAAATTCAAGATCGAGGCGGCAACAGAAAACAAATATCTCTAAATTTACGTCCTCGTGTGTTGTTGGGCAAGTGAAGGGCCCCAAACCCCTATCCAGAAGAGTATTATCATTAGCCAGATGCAAAACGTCAGACGCAAACCACTTTCGCCCAAACACAGACGTGTATGTAAGCTTGTCTAAAGAGGTGATATATATAGCAGCACATGAGTCGACAAAAGATCCGAGTTACACCACACCCCTCCCGGGGGGAACATACTAAGGACGAACTGATATAGCATCTTACTGGGCAACATGCGTTGAGTAAAGGCTAAAGAACAACAGTCAGTCGGACTGCAGGCCTCATGCTAGAGGCTCGCCCGACGGGGTGCATGTGGGAAATCTCGCCTCCTACGTGCTTAACTACATTTGAAGTGTTGACTGACCGCATCGGTAATGTGCCTCTCACATGAATCATGCTAAAGAACATTCAGGTAGCAGGGGCACAACAATCTAGAGAAAAGGATCGAGAAGTTACAAAAACAAACAAATGCGTCTCCGTCTCTACGCCTTACAGGGTTTGGTAATGAACAGCATATTTTGTTGTCCAAGCCTATGGTCGGGTTAATACGCTTTGCGGTTTTCGAGGAAAACTATGACCGCGTATCCACCTCCACAGCATGCAGGTACGGAAAATGTAAAAGCATTAAAGCTCACTCCGCCTTATACGTTCTATGCAGAACAAGCCAAAGTTAAGTAGGTGGCAGCGAAAAGGCAAAGATTCTGTGAAGCACTCTTAGTGAAGGCGCAAGAAAATTAGTGCGCAGGACGGGCTGGCCATATGCCTAATGAAAACTTCGTTGTATGTAACAATAAAGGACGAGAGACACATAAAAGAGACGTCTGGCTTATTACTCAGTCGGTGAGAGCGATTTCATGAAAATGACAAAGGGTGGCGTGACAAATCGTCGGAAGCTCAAAAATCGAACGAAAATGCTACCCTTACCAATATGGTCAGAAATTTTGAAGATCTTCTCGACACTATTCGTCACTATGAGAGGTGAGTTTATCCTTTTTTCCACGGCGAGCACGACACCTTCTGGAGTTTTTATTCCTATCCCAGTCGAACCCAACTTTAGACGGGTGTTAACAGAATGAACGGGTTACTTTGGTAGCCTCAATTGCATATTCAACTTGGAAAAGTCGTCCGTCAGGAGAAAATGTGTTCACGCCACGGTCATACTCAGTTTTCGTGAGGAACATGACCGATCGCGAGAAAAGCCGGGGCTTAATGTGATCGAGCAAAAACCGACTCACCGCACTACATCTTAGGATATTAAAACAACCATAGCTAGTCCATACCTAAAAGTAAGTAGTAGAAAATAATGAGGGACAAACCTGTGAAATTACAATAAAAAGGAACACGTAACAGTAGCTAAGTGTCGTCAGAAAAAGTGCGCGCTTTCTTTGAAAAGTTCATTGAGAAATTTACCTATGGACCACAGAGAAACCTACGAGAGAAAAGTTTGAGAGCAGTTAGCCTTATGTTGAAGACTCAGTAGATATATAGAACTGAAGTATATGTTAGCTCACAACATGGTCGATCAACCTATTTTTACACATGAATTAAGAGGCTGCTTTAATTTTCCGAGTGTAAAGCTGCATCCTCAGACACACCCCCTGGAGTACCTTACATCAGTATCTTTTACTGCTGCAGAGCCGAAATTTTGCAGAAGCATTCCTGTGTATTTGTTTCCAATCTCTTCTATCTTATGTTCCCTTCTATGCTGACAGATACCTACCGCGAGGAACGTCCTGGAATTAATATCAGTTACAGGACCAATGTCCAGTTTCTAAATATCTGACGGATGCAAACACTCCCGCGAACACCCACAACCACTGTTCATTACCCCTTCTTCGCGGACGACTGTGCACATAACGCTGCGACAGAAGCGGATGTGCAAAGAAGCATGAATCTCTTCGCCTTTGACTGTGCCAACTTCGAACTGACAACATGCACAAAAAATGTGGTCATGCATCAACGAGCAGCAGCGGACGAATACACTACGTCCATGACCAACGAGAATCAAACTCGGTTCACATTGGTGGAAACGTGGCCTATTTTGTCAGTACACATTTAAGCAACATCAACATATACGATAGAATAGCGAACAGGATTTCAAGGCCGACATTATGAAAAAAGTGATAAAGAAAGAATTAAAGTGCTTCCTAGAACAGCATAATCTGCTATGCGATGCCAAGCACGGATTCTGTAGAGGCAGATCAGGCGTGACAAACCTACTTTATTGTTTAGCACGCTGGACCCGGACAGTTGGTGGCAGCAATGCAGTGCGTGCAGTCTATATCGACTTCAAGAAAGAATTCGACAGTGTGCCACATCATCGTCTCCTGTACCAATTGAGCAGAACAGGCCTTTGGGGTAATCTCCTTAGGTGGATCCAAAGCTTCCTGATCGGTCGCTCTCAAACTGTCGCCGTCGGTGACAGGCAGTCGGTGGAGGTAGCGGTTGAAAGCGGTGTTCCTCAACACTCCGTCTTTGGTCCTACCCTGCTGGTTATATACGTCCACGACTGCGTCAGTGAACTGAATTGTGATGTCGCCATGTTCGCGGATGGTGTTAAAATTTGGAGTGTCATCCGAACTGAATTTGACAAAGGGTGCTTTCGGACAGACCTGACCCGACTCGAGAAATAGTTACAGGACTGGCTTTTGCTGTTTAATGTGACTAAGTGCAACGTTTTGCGAGTCGACAGGACCCGATCTCTGTGCGGAGGGTTTACTGTCTAAATGGCATACGATTGCTGGAGGTAGACGTCCAGAAAGACTTGCGTGTGTGGGTAACGGCTTCTCTAAAACCATCGCTCATGTGCTCCAAGGTAGCCAATTCCTCCATGTCAGTCTTTTATCTTGTCAAGAGAGCTTTCTCTACCTTCGATGAGGACTGCTTCGTTAAAGTCTTTCAGACATTCGTACAGCCACAGTTAGTGTTCGCTATTCAAGCGTGGAAACCTTGCGCCTCTAAGGGCCTTAGCGTCCTTGAGAAAGTTCAAAGGCGGGCAACCAAATTCATTAGTGAACAGGGTTCACCACCCTACGAAACACGGCTATCCAATCTCGGCCTTTTTCTACTGAGTTACAGACAGCTAAGAGGCGACCTTTTACAAACCTTCCGTATAATGCGTGGCCAGGGCTACTGTCTTTTACCTGCTGATTTCTTTGAGTTAGCAACCACAACGAACCTCCGAGGTCATCCACTTAAACTAGATGTGACTGGCGCCAGGCTGGATATTCGGATGGTCTTCTTTTCAAACGGGGTGTTCGAGACTTGGAATGCTCTGCCTGCAGTTGTCGTCCTGTTCACCTCTGTCGAGGCTTTTAAGCGCAAGTTGGACCAATGTACCACTAAACGTCATAATGTCACCTGACCAATATCGTCCTATCATTTCGTTCGAACAATTTGTTAATGTTATTATATGACTGTCTGCATTTCAGTAACGTTTGCTTTTTGTTACTATCCCAAGTCCGTTGAATGTGAGTGTCTTTAAGCGCTTGGAACAACTCGTTTATCTGAGTGGTTTCGAAAACTTTGCCAATCCGAAAAAAACCTCTGAGCTGTTTGATGTCTCCATCTTCAATTTTTATATAATTCACTTCTTTGTAACAAACAGGGAGTTCAAAGTTTCTACACTATGTTTCCCTCAAACTGAAAATGAAACTGAAAAAATCAGCAGCTAACCGCCAAAACTGCTGGCATTGATGCCACACATTTGCATCTTGCATTGGCCTGGTCGGTCATCTGAAAATCCATCGCACTGAGACTAACGAGCCAGTGTCAGAATAACCAACATACACCCGTCGCACTCGCCTAACCTGGCGGCGCTGTCGAAGGACATTCGGTCTTTGCATGGGTTTATTTGGCCATATGCGTCTGCATCTAATTCTGCGGTAAACACTCCAACGCTACGTCTCGTTTTGTCAGCCAAACACCCTTTCACACTAATCGGCCCGACATAAGACGCATGGACAGAAAATGCACTTATAACACCAGTGGGAAGTATGCTCTTTAGCGCAAGCTGGTTGCATGGCTAGGTCGTGTGACGTGGTCCTGTCAGTCGCTGCCCCGAGCGCCTTCTTGGTTCTCCTGGGTCTATTTTGCCACTCTCCTCAGGTGTGCGGGAGTGGAAAGAGTGCGCCAGGTGCTGCGCAAGTCCGTACGAGGTAATTCGACAATTGGCTGAGTCTATCACGCAAGTACCCCAGAGACTCCGGTTGACAAACCAGTTACTTCAGAATTCCCTGTGACGAAGATCAGTTTCAGATTTTGTAAGAATTCCTCATACTCGGACTGAAAGTACCGAATATGTCATCAACATACTGTATCTAAAACCTTGGTCAAAAGTTGTAAAACTCCAATGCCTTTAGATGCTACAGTACTGCCCCAGCAATCAGGCTGGACAATCGTTACCTCACCAGTGTACCTTTGACTTGTTTTTACACAGTTCAGCCAGAGGGAAAGAGGGTCGTTTAGCAGTGCTCCGGAAAATCGATGACGAACCTTAAGTTTATTGTTCACCTTGTTATAATAATCTTATAGTAAGGCCGGTGGGGTTTAAACTGCGGGATGCAGTGGGTTTGAGATGTACAGTGACGCCACGCCTAAGGACACCATCATTTGGTCATTTTCAAGTGGAATAATGCATAAGAAGGCTGCACCTAGATTAGCATTGCGTTTGTCCGACCACAAATCAAAGACCACATACTGGCGTCATCTCTGTATTGTGTGGGAAACTATTGATGTAGAAAATATGCAGAGCCATACATGTGCGGATCATTTGAAAAAACATCCTGATTCTTGGTGGGTTTTAGGTCGTGGGTGCCACATAGGTAGAGAACACCGTCCACATAATTCCACACTTCAGGGATGGCGTTAGCAGCGCAGAGTAACTTCCTGTATCGTATGCGCCGGACTCTTTGATATCACTTCCATATAAACAAAACTGCTTGCTTTTGGACTTAGTGAGTGCTTTCGTGAATGTCACATATTAGCAGTTTTGCTCATTTGTAGTCTTCAAACCTTCACCGCATTTTCTATGTTCTTCCGCTTCTTTTTTCTTTTCGACATCTCGTTTTTTCATCTTGCGGCCTTCAACATACCCGGCGACCTCACACAATAACCCATTTTAAGAGACTAGACGAGTCCAACAAAAAGTGGTGTTTGGTCTGTCAATGAGGCAGGAGGGGAGGAGAGGGAGGAGACCGTGCCTGGGGCTGAGTTGGATTCACATCGTCTGACTCGCAGTCGTCGCATGGTGTGATGAGCATATGCGCTCTTGGCTGGGAACTGGGCCGCACGATTGTGCGTGGGGTCGTATAGCGTGATAACAGGGAGGGGGGCATACCAGCATGCCTATTTATGGAGTTCCGTCAGAGACCCAGACCTTCTGCAGTTCCCGCCCCCGCTTCAGACTCGATGCCTGCCTGTTATTATATCCGTGCTCGACGCAAGAACTTTGGCCTGCTTTTTCGCCACTGGTTAATGTTAACCTCTCCGAGACTGGCATCCGGTGGGCTCGGGTGACCTTTGTCCCCTTTGTGGTCGTCTTAACTACTGGCAAGTCAGATTGCTTTTTGGCTTTCCCGTCATCGGCCAGCGGACTGATCAGGTGAATTTTGGAGGCCATTTAAGTGCAGAATGCACGAAGGAACTATTTTCAAAAGCCATTCTGCTCATCCTGTTCTATTTACTTAGTTATTTGGATGGATATGCTTTGTTTACTTCTAAAACTTATGCTGGCATATTTGTGATGATTTTTTATGTTTGCAGGTTTTTCGTTGTTGGTGATAAAATTTCCAGGTAAGGATAGGTTATGTAACCCCACTGAGTTTAGCATGTATAGGTGACCACTATATCTGTTTAAGGCCTTGTTTATTAATCCACAGCTGCAGGAAGTCCCCTTTATGCATTATCGAACACTTTGACATGCAGTGAGTTGTTTCAGTATGACTTTTTCAGTAATAAATTATTTATCATGATGTTCTCGCTCCCTCCCCCCGTAATCCCTTTGTCTTACCTTGATTTCCTAGTTACCCCGGTGTACTCGCATTGCCTTTCGTTGCCCATTCCGTACACAGTGACTTACCTATTTCTTCATTTTTTATCGGTAACCAGGTATGCCTGTGCGTTTTGGCTTGCTATGCCTCGGTTAGATCCCAAACGCTTTGCTTCCTCGATATCTCTGAGCGGTTTCTGTTGTCGAACGCGTACACCTGACTTATTTATTCCTTTAAGAATACTTGTGTTTAGTCCCTCTCAAAAAAGAATAATAAGAAAGTCAAATCTAGTTGAGAGGTGGGGTTACACAACCTACCGTCGCCAGTCCCACTTCTAAGCAACACAATATTTCTTATTTCCTTTCACCTGAAGTAGCTCAACATTAACTAGGACGTTAGACCGATCCATTTGGAACAATTACCGAGTGAGAAGAGATCTTTCGCAAACTTACGCACATCTAATGACTTATGTTACCTGTTGTACATGTAAAATAGGTCACATTTGTCAACAGATAGGTAAATGATTTTGCTCATCTGAAAACTATAAACACCGATGACTCCAAGGTTATGACCCTCAACGACCCCAGTATTGCACACGCGTATGGTCTCCCAAAGGTATACAAGGCAGGCGCACCACCGACGATAATAGTACAATTGACTAGATCACTTACATTCCAAAAGAAGTTGCGATTACTTGAACAAGAAGCCTATTCACCTGACGTTCTGGATGTCCACTAGAAGTCTTCATTAGAGACAGCCGCAGATAAGGGTAGAGGAGATACAAGTAGCGCAGTTCACTTCCCGTGTCATATTTGTAGCATTCCTGGACAGTATGGGCTTTGGGCCACCACAATATTTGCGGCAG